TCCAGAGTGCTAACCATTACACCATAAGAGCACCTAGCCCTGACACACCACGCCAAATCCGCAACCCGCTCGAATGGTACCCAATTCACGTATTCACGGACATGCCACATGTGCTGCACATACCCCTTTCACATATCGTCGTGCTCCTACACTTACGGCCATGCTCGCATGCTTCTTTCGCCACCAGGCTTGCTTCAATCCACGCCTCGAGCCATCCGGTTGCTACTCGCTTTGACGTCGCATTTCTTCGTGTTTTGGATACCCACGGGATCAATTGTTCTCGCGGAAGGCTGCGATGAGCCCTCCTGCTGTCTTGGAGAATTGGTAGTGCAGTCAGCGAAGTCGGCAGTTAGGCTTGGTGAGCTCTGCCAGAGCAGCAGCTACCACTTAAATCGGCAGCGGATCGCCGGGACACGATATAACACACCACGGCAACACAACGTGACGCGGCTGTAGCGTGTGGCAGGTGCGCAACGCAGCAACAGCTGGGGCGTTGTAGGGCCGGTAGAAGCGGTGCAAAACGAGGTCCTACCGGAATTTGAACCCGGATCGCTGGATTCAGAGTCCAGAGTGCTAACCATTACACCATAAGACCAGCACTAACTCACCAATCCGCAAACAAAATTTCAAACGCTTTCCTAAAGCCCCTTACGACAGCTGGCGCCATCGCTACATACTATGCTTGCAACGCCGCACAAAATCAAACTCCTACCGGGATTTGAACCCGGATCGCTGGATTCAGAGTCCAGAGTGCTAACCATTACACCATAAGAGCACCTAGCTCAGACACAACACGCCCAATCCGCAACCCGCTCGAATCGCACGCAATTCACGTATTCACGGACATGCCACATGTGCTGCACATACCCCTTTCACATATCATCGTGCTCCTACACTTACGGCCATGCTCGCATGCTTCTTTCGCCACCAGGCTTGCTTCAATCCCCGCCTCGAGCCATCCGGTTGCTACTCGCTTTGACGTCGCATTTCTTCGTGTTATGGATACCCACGGGATCAATTGTTCTCGCGGAAGGCTGCGATGAACCCTCTGGCTGTCTTGGAGAATTGGTAGTGCAGTCAGCGAAGTCGGCAGTTAAGCATGGTGAGCTCTGCCAGAGCAGCAGCTACCACTTAAATCGGCAGCGGATCGCCGGGACACGATATAACACACCACGGCAACACAACGTGACGCGGCTGTAGCGTGTGGCAGGTGCGCAGCGCAGACAACAGCTGGGGCGGTGTAGGGCCCGGTAGAAGCGGTGCAAAACGAGCTCCTACCGGAGATTTGAACCCGGATTGCTGGATTCAAAGTCCAGGGTGCTAACCATTACACCATAAGAGCACCTAGCTCAGACACAACACGCCCAATCCGCAACCCGCTCGAATCGCACGCAATTCACGTATTCACGGACATGCCACATGTGCTGCACATACCCCTTTCACATATCGTCGTGCTCCTACACTTACGGCCATGCTCGCATGCTTCTTTCGCCACCAGGCTTGCTTCAATCCCCGCCTCGAGCCATCCGGTTGCTACTCGCTTTGACGTCGCATTTCTTCGTGTTTTGGATACCCACTGGATCTATTGTTCTCGCTGAAGGCTGCGATGAACCCTCTGGCTGTCTTGGAGAATTGGTAGTGCAGTCAGCGAAGTCGGCAGTTAGGCTTGGTGAGCTCTGCCAGAGCAGCAGCTACCACTTAAATCGGCAGCGGATCGCCGGGACACGATATAACACACCACGGCAACACAACGTGACGCGGCTGTAGCGTGTGGCAGGTGCGCAACGCAGCAACAACTGGGGCGTTGTAGGGCCGGTAGAAGCGGTGCAAAACGAGGTCCTACCGGGATTTGAACCCGGATCGCTGGATTCAGAGTCCAGAGTGCTAACCATTACACCATAAGACCAGCACTAACTCACCAATCCGCAAACAAAATTTCAAACGCTTTCCTAAAGCCCCACACGACAGCTGGCGCCATCGCTACATACTATGCTTGCAACGCCGCACAAAATCAAGCTCCTACCGGGATTTGAACCCGGATCGCTGGATTCAAAGTCCAGAGTGCTAACCATTACACCATAAGAGCACCTAGCCCAGACACAACACGCCCAATCCGCAACCCGCTCGAACCGCACGCAGTTTCACGTATTCACGGACATGCCCCATGTGCTGCACATACCCCTTTCACATATCATCGTGCTCCTACACTTACGGCCATGCTCGCATGCTTCTTTCGCCACCCGGCTTGCTTCAATCCCCGCCTCGAACCATCCGGTTGCTACTCGCTTTGACGTCGCATTTCTTCGTGTTATGGATACCCACGGGATCAATCGTTCTCGCTGAAGGCTGCGATGAACCCTCTGGCTGTCTTGGAGAATTGGTAGTGCAGTCAGCGAAGTCGGCAGTTAGGCTTGGTGAACTCTGCCAGAGCAGCAGCTACCACTTAAATCGGCAGCGGATCGCCGGGACACGATATAACACACCACGGCAACACAACGTGACGCGGCTGTAGCGTGTGGCAGGTGCGCAACGCAGCAACAACTGGGGCGTTGTAGGGCCGGTAGAAGCGGTGCAAAACGAGGTCCTACCGGGATTTGAACCCGGATCGCTGGATTCAGAGTCCCAGAGTGCTAACCATTTACACATAGACCAGCACTAACTCACCAACCCAGCAAACAATATTTCAAACGCTTTCCTAAAGCCCCACACGACAGCTGGCGCCATCGCTACATACTATGCTTGCAACGCCGCACAAAATCAAGCTCCTACCGGGATTTGAACCCGGATCGCTGGATTCAAAGTCCAGAGTGCTAACCATTACACCATAAGAGCACCTAGCCCAGACACAACACGCCCAATCCGCAACCCGCTCGAATGGCACCCAATTCACGTATTCACGGACATGCCACATGTGCTGCACATACCCCTTTCACATATCATCGTGCTTCTACACCTACGGCCATGCTCGCATGCTTCTTTCGCCACCCGGCTTGCTTCAATCCCCGCCTCGAACCATCCGGTTGCTACTCGCTTTGACGTCGCATTTCTTCGTGTTTTGGATACCCACGGGATCTATTGTTCTCGCGGAAGGCTGCGATGAGCCCTCTGGCTGTCTTGGAGAATTGGTAGTGCAGTCAGCGAAGTCGGCAGTTAGGCTTGATGAGCTCTGCCAGAGCAGCAGCTACCACTTAAATCGGCAGCGGATCGCCGGGACACGATATAACACACCACGGCAACACAACGTGACGCGGCTGTAGCGTGTGGCAGGTGCGCAACGCAGCAACAACTGGGGCGTTGTAGGGCCGGTAGAAGCGGTGCAAAACGAGGTCCTACCGGGGATTTGAACCCGGATCGCTGGATTCACGAGTCAGAGTGCTAATCATTATATCCATAAGATCAGCACTAACTCCGCCAATCCCGCAAACAAATATTTTCCAATCGCTTTCCCTAAGGCCCGACACGACCAGCTGACGCCTATCGCTACATACTATGCTTGCAACGCCGCACAAAATCAAGCTCCTACCGGGATTTGAACCCGGATCGCTGGATTCAAAGTCCATATGGCTAACCATTACACCATAAGAGCACCTAGCCCAGACACACCACGCCAAATCCGCAACCCGCTCGAATCGCACCCAATTCACGTATTCACGGACATGCCACATGTGCTGCGTACCCCTTTCACATATCATCGTGCTCCTACACTTACGGCCATGCTCGCATGCTTCTTTCGCCACCAGGCTTGCTTCAATCCCCACCTCGAGCCATCCGGTTGCTACTCGCTTTGACGTCGCATTTCTTCGTGTTTTGGATACCCACGGGATCAATTGTTCTCACGGAAGGCTGCGATGAGCCCTCTGGCTGTCTTGGAGAATTGGTAGTGCAGTCAGCGAAGTCGGCAGTTAGGCTTGGTGAGCTCTGCCAGAGCAGCAGCTACCACTTAAATCGGCAGCGGATCGCCGGGACACGATATAACACACCATGGCAACACAACGTGACGCGGCTGTAGCGTGTGGCAGGTGCGCAACGCAGCAACAACTGGGGCGTTGTGGGGCCGGTAGGAGCGGCGCAAAACGAGGTCCTACCGGGATTTGAACCCGGATCGCTGGATTCAGAGTCCAGAGTGCTAACCATTACACCATAAGACCAGCACTAACTCACCAATCCGCAAACAAAATTTCAAACGCTTTCTCAAAGCCCCACACGACAGCTGGCGCCATCGCTACATACTATGCTTGCAACGCCGCACAAAATCAAGCTCCTACCGGGATTTGAACCCGGATCGCTGGATTCAAAGTCCAGAGTGCTAACCATTACACCATAAGAGCACCTAGCTCAGACACAACACGCCCAATCCGCAACCCGCTCGAATCGCACGCAATTCAAGTATTTACGGACATGCCCCATGTGCTGCACATACCCCTTTCACATATCATCGTGCTCCTACACTTACGGCCATGCTCGCATGCTTCTTTCGCCACCCGGCTTGCTTCAATCCCCGCCTCGAACCATCCGGTTGCTACTCGCTTTGACGTCGCATTTCTTCGTGTTTTGGGTACCCACGGGATCTATTGTTCTCGCGGAAGGCTGCGATGAGCTCTTTGGCTGTCCTGGAGAGTTAGTAGTGCAGTTAGCGAAATCGGCAGTTAGGCTTGGTGAGCTCTGCCAGAGCAGCAGCTACCACTTAAATCGGCAGCGGATCGCCGGGACACGATACCACACACCATGGCAACACAACGTGACGCGGCTGTAGCGTGTGGCAGGTGCGCAACGCAGCAACAACTGGGGCGTTGTGGGGCCGGTAGGAGCGGCGCAAAACGAGGTCCCACCGGGATTTGAACCCGGATCGCTGGATTCAGAGTCCAGAGTGCTAACCATTACACCATAAGACCAGCACTAACTCGCCAATCCGCAAACAAAATTTCAAACGCTTTCCTAAAGCCCCACACGACAGCTGGCGCCATCGCTACATTCTATGCCTGCAACGCCGCACAAAATCAAGCTCCTACCGGGATTTGAAACCCGGAATCGCTGGATTCAGAGTCACAGAGTGCTAACCATTTACACCATAAGAGCACCTAGCCCCAGACACACCACGCCCAATCACGCAACCAGCTCGAATCGCACCCAATTCACGTATTCACGGGACATGCCACATGTGCTGCACATACCCCTTTCACATATCATCGTGCTCCTACACTTACGGCCATGCTCGCATGCTTCTTTCGCCACCAGGCTTGCTTCAATCCCCGCCTCGAGCCATCCGGTTGCTACTCGCTTTGACGTCGCATTTCTTCGTGTTTTGGATACCCACGGGATCAATTGTTCTCGCGGAAGGCTGCGATGAACCCTCTGGCTGTCTTGGAGAATTGGTACTGCCGTCAGCAAAGTCGGCAGTTAGGCTTGGTGAGCTCTGCCAGAGCAGCAGCTACCACTTAAATCGGCAGCGGATCGCCGGGACACGATATAACACACCACGGCAACACAACGTGACGCGGCTGTAGCGTGTGGCAGGTGCGCAACGCAGCAACAACTGGGGCGTTGTAGGGCCGGTAGAAGCGGTGCAAAACGAGGTCCTACCGGGAATTGAGCCCGGATCGCTGGATTCAGAGTCCAGAGTGCTAACCATTACACCAGAAGACCAGCACTAACTCACCAATCCGCAAACAAAATTTCAAACGCTTTCCTAAAGCCCCACACGACAGCTGGCGCCATCGCTACATACTATGCTTGCAACGCCGGAAAAAAACCCAAAAAAAAACAAATCTCTCACGGGGAATTGTAAACCGCGAATGCTGTGAATTTTTCAGATCCCAGAGAGGTTCAAACCTTTATAACCCCATAAGACCCCTCCATTCCCAAAAACCACAAGTTCCCCATCTCCCAACCGCTTCCAAACCCAGCCAAATCAGCATTCAGGACTGCCACAGTGCGCACATCCCCTTCACTATGTCTGCCCTACACTACGCCAGCTCGCATGCTTCTTTCGCCACCAGGCTTGCTTCAATCCCCGCCTCGAGCCATCCGGTTGCTACTCGCTTTGACGTCGCATTTCTTCGTGTTTTGGATACCCACGGGATCAATCGTTCTCGCTGAAGGCTGCGATGAACCCTCTGGCTGTCTTGGAGAATTGGTAGTGCAGTCAGCGAAGTCGGCAGTTAGGCTTGGTGAGCTCTGCCAGAGCAGCAGCTACCACTTAAATCGGCAGCGGATCGCCGGGACACGATATAACACACCACGGCAACACAACGTGACGCGGCTGTAGCGTGTGGCAGGTGCGCAACGCAGCAACAACTGGGGCGTTGTAGGGCCGGTAGAAGCGGTGCAAAACGAACCGGTCCTGGGATTTGAACCCGGATCGCTGGATTCAGAGTCCAGAGTGCTAACCATTACACCATAAGACCAGCACTAACTCACCAATCCGCAAACAAAATTTCAAACGCTTTCCTAAAGCCCCACACGACAGCTGGCGCCATCGCTACATTCTATGCCTGCAACGCCGCACAAAATCAAGCTCCTACCGGGATTTGAACCCGGATCGCTGGATTCAAAGTCCAGAGTGCTAACCATTGCACCATAAGAGCACCTAGCTCAGACACAACACGCCTAATTCGCAACCCGCTCGAATCGCACGCGATTCACGTATTCACGGACATGCCACATGTGCTGCACATACCCCTTCCACATATCGTCGTGCTCCTACACTTACGGCCATGCTCGCATGCTTCTTTCGCCACCAGGCTTGCTTCAATCCCCGCCTCGAGCCATCCGGTTGCTACTCGCTTTGACGTCGCATTTCTTCGTGTTTTGGATACCCACGGGATCCATTGTTCTCGCGGAAGGCTGCGATGAGCCCTCTGGCTGTCTTGGAGAATTGGTAGTGCAGTCAGCGAAGTCGGCAGTTAGGCTTGGTGAGCTCTGCCAGAGCAGCAGCTACCACTTAAATCGGCAGCGGATCGCCGGGACACGATACAACACACCACGGCAACACAACGTGACGCGGCTGTAGCGTGTGGCAGGTGCGCGACGCAGCAACAACTGGGGCGTTGTAGGGCCGGTAGAAGCGGTGCAAAACGAGGTCCTACCGGGATTTGAACCCGGATCGCTGGATTCAGAGTCCAGAGTGCTAACCATTACACCATAAGACCAGCACTAACTCACCAATCCGCAAACAAAATTTCAAACGCTTTCCTAAAGCCCCACACGACAGCTGGCGCCATCGCTACATAATATGCCTGCAACGCCGCACAAAATCAAGCTCCTACCGGGATTTGAACCCGGATCGCTGGATTCACAGTCCAGAGTGCTAACCATTACACCATAAAGAGCACCTAGCTCAGACATCAACACGCCCTAATTCGCAACCCGCTCGAATCGCACGCGATTCACGTATTCGCCGACATGCCACATGTGCTGCACATCACACTTTCACATATCGTCGTGCTCCTACACTTACGGCCATGCTCGCATGCTTCTTTCGCCACCAGGCTTGCTTCAATCCCCGCCTCGAGCCATCCGGTTGCTACTCGCTTTGACGTCGCATTTCTTCGTGTTTTGGATACCCACGGGATCTATTGTTCTCGCGGAAGGCTGCGATGAACCCTCTGGCTGTCTTGGAGAATTGGTAGTGCAGTCAGCGAAGTCGGCAGTTAGACTTGGTGAGCTCTGCCAGAGCAGCAGCTACCACTTAAATCGGCAGCGGATCGCCGGGACACGATACAACACACCACGGCAACACAACGTGACGCGGCTGTAGCGTGTGGCAGGTGCGCAACGCAGCAACAACTGGGGCGTTGTAGGGCCGGTAGAAGCGGTGCAAAACGAGGTCCTACCGGGATTTGAACCCGGATCGCTGGATTCAGAGTCCAGAGTGCTAACCATTACACCATAAGACCAGCACTAACTCACCAATCCGCAAACAAAATTTCAAACGCTTTCCTAAAGCCCCACACGACAGCTGGCGCCATCGCTACATACTATGCTTGCAACGCCGCACAAAATCAAGCTCCTGCCGGGATTTGAACCCGGAATCGCTGGATTCAAAGTCCAGAGTGCTAACCATTACACCAAAAGAGCACCTAGCTCAGACACAACACGCCTAATTCGCAACCCGCTCGATTCGCACGCGATGCACGTATTCACGGACATGCCACATGTGCTGCACATACCCCTTCCACATATCGTCGTGCTCCTACACTTACGGCCATGCTCGCATGCTTCTTTCGCCACCAGGCTTGCTTCAATCCCCGCCTCGAGCCATCCGGTTGCTACTCGCTTTGACGTCGCATTTCTTCGTGTTTTGGATACCCACGGGATCAATTGTTCTCGCGGAAGGCTGCGATGAACCCTCTGGCTGTCTTGGAGAATTGGTAGTGCAGTCAGCGAAGTCGGCAGTTAGGCTTGGTGAGCTCTGCCAGAGCAGCAGCTACCACTTAAATCGGCAGCGGATCGCCGGGACACGATATAACGCACCACGGCAACACAACGTGACGCGGCTGTAGCGTGTGGCAGGTGCGCAACGCAGCAACAACTGGGGCGTTGTAGGGCCGGTAGAAGCGGTGCAAAACGAGGTCCTACCGGGATTTGAACCCGGATCGCTGGATTCAGAGTCCAGAGTGCTAACCATTACACCATAAGACCAGCACTATCTCGCCAATCCGCAAACAAAATTTCAAACGCTTTCCTAAAGCCCCACACGACAGCTGGCGCCATCGCTACATACTATGCTTGCAACGCCGCACAAAATCAAGCTCCTACCGGGATTTGAACCCGGATCGCTGGATTCAAAGTCCAGAGTGCTAACCATTACACCATAAGAGCACCTAGCTCAGACACAACACGCCCAATCCGCAACCCGCTCGCATCGCACGCAATTCACATATTCACGGACATGCCACATGTGCTGCACATACCCCTTTCACATATCGTCGTGCTCCTACACTTACGGCCATGCTCGCATGCTTCTTTCGCCACCAGGCTTGCTTCAATCCCCGCCTCGAGCCATCCGGTTGCTACTCGCTTTGACGTCGCATTTCTTCGTGTTATGGATACCCACGGGATCTATTGTTCTCGCGGAAGGCTGAGATGAGCCCTCTGGCTGTCGTGGAGAATTGGTAGTGCAGTCAGCGAAGTCGGCAGTTAGGCTTGGTGAACTCTGCCAGAGCAGCAGCTACCACTTAAATCGGCAGCGGATCGCCGGGACACGATATAACACACCACGGCAACACAACGTGACGCGGCTGTAGCGTGTGGCAGGTGCGCAACGCAGCAACAACTGGGGCGTTGTAGGGCCGGTAGAAGCGGTGCAAAACGAGGTCCTACCGGGATTTGAACCCGGATCGCTGGATTCAGAGTCCAGAGTGCTAACCATTACACCATAAGACCAGCACTATCTCGCCAATCCGCAAACAAAATTATAAACGCTTTCCTAAAGCCCCACACGACAGCTGGCGCCATCGCTACATACTATGCTTGCAACGCCGCACAAAATCAAGCTCCTGCCGGGATTTGAACCCGGATCGCTGGATTCAAAGTCCAGAGTGCTAACCATTACACCATAAGAGCACCTAGCTCAGACACAACACGCCCAATCCGCAACCCGCTCGAATCGCACGCAATTCACGTATTTACGGACATGCCACATGTGCTGCACATACCCCTTTCACATATCGTCGTGCTCCTACACTTACGGCCATGCTCGCATGCTTCTTTCGCCACCAGGCTTGCTTCAATCCCCGCCTCGAGCCATCCGGTTGCTACTCGCTTTGACGTCGCATTTCTTCGTGTTATGGATACCCACGGGATCAATTGTTCTCGCGGAAGGCTGCGATGAACCCTCTGGCTGTCTTGGAGAATTGGTAGTGCAGTCAGCGAAGTCGGCAGTTAGGCTTGGTGAGCTCTGCCAGAGCAGCAGCTACCACTTAAATCGGCAGCGGATCGCCGGGACACGATATAACACACCACGGCAACACAACGTGACGCGGCTGTAGCGTGTGGCAGGTGCGCAACGCAGCAACAACTGGTGCGTTGTAGAGCCGGTAGAAGCGGTGCAAAACGAGGTCCTACCGGGAATTGAG